CAAGTTGGATAAGAATCATACGTTTTTTGCGAACTTATTTCGGGATTTCGATAAGTATGTTGTTTTCATTATTATGCCGATGATGTTACTGGAACTTGCATTATTTAAAGGTATCGACATGTGGAGGAAAAGTGGGAAGTCCCAAAGCCACGTCCCTACAAAGATCACGTATGTCGTTGTTTTCGTATCTTGAAACTGGTCGCCGAAAGCCATGTGCAAATGTGTAATGTTTTTCTAGGGAAATTTGCGATCTTGGTTGCTGAACCCTGACTGTTTCGACCAGTTCGTCATTCAGTGCGGTGGAGGAGGTGACGAATGGATTGCCGTTCACACGAACACCCCCAGTGAACCGACGATAGTCGTCGAAAAGAAGGTTCAGACGATTAATAAAAATTTTTTAATCAGCTGTAATATTTATTATCACTTGATAACAGGATTGGTCGGAAAGTGCTGTTCAATGGTCCCCATTTGGTACTTACCTTGCGACCGTACACAAGAAGGGTATTGCGTTGTGGGGCGGCGAAAAGTTTGAACAGATTATCCGGTTCAGTCATCTGGACGTGCGGTTTTTCGATTTCAGTCCTTGCGAGAGGTAAACTGTCTTGCTCCTGAACTTTGCAGTAATAGTCAATGACATGAAGAAACTGAGTTATATTAGTTTATGAGAGTGAATAATATTAAAATAAATATATTTGGTAGTTTAGGTTCAGAACCTGTTAGTTAACTGTATTTGTCCAGCTCCTCAGCGACACGATGGCTCCTGGTGCGAAACAGTTTTTGACTTTGCTCCGAAATTTCTGCTTCAGACATAAACGTTATCATCAGAGGTATAACGACGTTGGCGATTTCTCTGTGAAGCCGAAACACCGACACAAATAGACTATTTGATTAGATTAATAGATTATTTGATGCCAGTATTATTTTTGAAGGAAAAATAAAAGTAGATTACTTAGATTAATATAGTACTAATGTTGTTTGGCCGAAATCGAAAAATTGCGGTTCAAATGGAGAGATTGTACTATGCAGTAAGAAGATGCCCGTTAACTTAAAGGGAAAGATGTACAGAACGATAGTAAGATCGGTACTTCTATACGAAGCAAAATGTTTGGCTTTCTTGAAGATACACGAACAGTAGCTGAACTCTCTAGGAATTATAATGCTCAAACGGATGGGTGATATCAGCAAAAGGAAACACATATGGAATATTCATAAGAGACATTTCAGGTGTAGCGACAGTTTCAGAAAAGCTAATCGAAAGCAGGTTCACGTTGAAAATTCAGTGTAAATACTAAAACTGCCATGGAGGGCCAAAGATTAGGTTCCGCATTGTCGTGATGAATGTGGTGATGAGTGACCGAGATTCTGACCAATGCCCAGAAAATATGTTGACAGTTCGCTGAAGCAGCGGAGCGTTGTTCAATGGAATATACTAGGAAGGATTGGAAGACTGTTTACCCTAGACGGATGAACTACTTTGCGGCTGAGCCTCTGCTTCGTAAATAACCAAGAAAAAGACCAGATCTTAAACGTAGTGAAAGAACTGCAATGTTAAGGTGGATATAGAAAACATCGAAGTTGGACGGAGTAAAATTACTCAAATTATCGAGAAGGGTCTTTGGAGAAAATTTTTGCCGCAGCATGTTCTCTATTTTGTAAAAATATTACCAAAAAAGACAACAGTGCAACATTTTGAAACATCTCGCTAAAGTAGATCTGCGAAGAACATGTTTGCCACGGCACCGTTTAGTGTAAATATGAAATACAGTTTCAAATGGTGAAGAATCACGGATCTCTCATACACTGCTGTTGAACCTTCGCCAGTCATGGACGACGATGACAACTCAAGCGCAATTAAACCTGTATTTATAATATGTCAGAACCAATATTTTATCTGAAACACCTTGATCGCTGACATTTTGAAAGAAAAATTTTTGGCATGGCTTGCACCTGTTTATTCCTTCTGAAATGATTGGACATTGTCCAGATATAGCGGTACTTCGAAGTTGTGTACTTATTGTGGCTTCAGCGCATTTTCCAGAGCTGTCTGTGTCAAAGCAACCCAGAGTCCTACTGAAGTAACTCGTTAAGTCGTAATTTTTGGTATTACCCTCACACTTTGCAGGCTGTTGTTGTCATGTCATCGTCGTCTGTGGCGTCAGAGTTAAAGGTCGAGTACCCAGGTTAATGATTTTCCTGATGTTTTGGCTTCGAAAATGATTTAGGCAGACAGAATTAAGGGAAATCATATCATTTCTTTACGATCTGACAAATGAGACAAGGAACCAGCACAAGCCAGTCTATCATACAGAAAAATATTGAAAATTCTTCCTAGATCTTGTTGAATTCTTAATCACTAAGAAGACTGAAAAGACGAATTTCTTCGAGAAAATACTATTTTAACCCATTCCTTGATATGTCGCATCTCCATTTAATTCTTCCTTTTGTTTTTTATTTCGTTCAAAATTTTT